TGGGGAGCAGTATTGCACATGTTAGATTGATGATGTGAAGTTCGGTGATTTGACATACGCATTGTCAAGGGATTGGTGTGATTGAGAGTATTTGTTCTTTGTGTTGAACTTATTTATGTTTTACTACTTTAATTATGTTTTGGGACTTTGATTATTGGTTTGGTTTTAATAAGGGCCTTTATGGTTCCAATTTGTAAGCTTTGACTTATTGGTTTTCTAAATTATATTATTTTAAGATTTAAGTTGGATTTCCGCTGCAATACTTTGATAAAGCCTTAACGTTTTAACACGTGGCGATAACATGCGAACGATTCTCCTCTATTTTTATTTAAAGTAAGTGGTTGAAAATGGGAGAATTATTGGGGTATTACAAGAACCACATTTGGGTTGATTACGCGGGTATTAAGGAAGTTAAGTAAAAAGAAGTAAAAGTATATTGGAAAGATAAATTTATATGGAGTTTGTAAAAAAAATAGAGAGAGAAAATAATAAAATAACATGAAAAATGAAATTTTTATATGGGGAAGCTAATTTTGCACAAATATTGTTGCAAATTGGTGGTGTTTTAATGCAAATGGGTCATTCTTTTTGGGACAAAGTTTTGGCCAAATGAGTCGTTCTTTTTTGGGACGGAGGGAGTACTATTTATAAAAAAAAATTATACAACTAAGCACAAGTCACAACCCAATCAAGGATGGACAATGATTCAAACTAAAAAATGGTCCAAATCTGATCCAACTTAGTCGAGTCAATCACTTCAAACTTTTAAAGGACACATTATATAACACACGTATTTGGCTTTAATAGTACGTTTTATTAATGGGTCCCATTTAACGCATGAATGAGGATGGTTGTTGCTTTGGCACATCAAAGTTTTCGGCATATATGTATCTATCTTTTGTGGGTCCAATTTTCATCAACTCCAAGTGCAAATTTGTTGAGAATATTTTCCCTACGAGTTAAAATTATAAACTTGTATATGCCAAATTAAATAAATCCCCATATCATCGGGTCAATAATAATAAATATGCACGATTTATGTGAATATAAGTTTATAGTATATGATACTCCATAGTAGACAATACTACGTATAACACATTTCGCTCCTAATTTTCTACTTTAAATAGCTATGTGAAAAATAGTTAGTAGTGTTAACAAAATAACAAATGCGAATTCAACCATAAATAGTGAATCAACTAATATATGTCTTAGCCTGTCAAAAAAAAAAACAAAAAACAAAAAAAAAACACTGATATATGTCTTAGGCCCCGTTTACTTTACCTTATTTTTGCTGAATTAAATTATTTTTGTTGAATTGAATTTAATTTTGCTGAACTTAAATCAATTTACTGACTGAAATTAATTTTACTAAACTCAAATTATTTTTACTGATTCTCTTTTGTATTTCTTCTTTAGAGTTACTGAATTTTGCGAAATTATTTTTACTGAACTAAAATTATTTTTACTGAATATTATTATTCTTAAAATTGAAGAACTATTAATGTAATTGTTCATTCAAGCAAACTAATTTGAGAATTAATTTACGAGTACTATTATTGGTTAACCAATTTTGATGTTCAATTATATTGTTTCAATATACATGCAACTAATTAAACTTAAATTATATGCGCCTTTGGTGTTTTAACAAGTATTATAATTTTTTTTTAGTTGTGCAAAAGCTACATTTTGATATTATATTTTTCTCTATTCGTGGTCCCCATCTAAACCAACTACTGTTTTTTTTATTTTTAATTTCCTTCCCCTCACATCCATTACATTTCAATAAATTATTAACCTCACTATTTTTCTTATATAATTTTAAATACTCCAACTACCGTACTTACTTTTTATTTTATTTAAATCAATTAAATTACCTAATTTTATGTGTCAATCAAAGTGTAATACAGAATACTTATTAAAGCACGAAGGGAGTATACAAATATCAAATTACACATAAGAATCTGGGACACAACTAGCAACTAAGGGCCTGTTCTCTTACGTTGAAATTCAGTTCAGTTCAGTTCAACTCCTAATTTTCTTCTCTTATAAAATATTCATTTCAGCTCAGTTCAGTTCAGCTCATTTCAGTTCAGTTGAGTTGAGTTCAGTCAATAAAAACAGGCCCTAAAATAGTAAATAATGCTAAATTGAAAGAACTTTTCAGACATAACTAGCTATAATGCGCATCACGCGAGTTAACCAAACTATTAAGATCAAATTACACATAAGAATCCGGGACATAACAAGTTTGTCAATTATACATTGACAACAATTGTCAAAACTCCAACCAATAGATGTCTCTCCAAAATTAGAAAAAAAAAGTTAAAAAATATGCATTATTAAGATATTGTAATCATGAAAGCTCACATATCTTTTGTCTTTTACCCTAACTACACATGACCAATGGGGATGATTTGACATCATCATTCAAAGATTATTGCTCGTAATCAAGCAAAGTATGATGTCCCAAGATTTTACAAAGTTAAGCTAGTGAACTCTATCATCAATGTAGGAAAGCGTTTTCTTTCCCCTATCTATCAATTTTTTTTTTTTTTTTGCTCAAAAGTGATATAGCCACCACTCTCTCATATATATTACATCCCTACAGCAAAGGCGAAAAAATAAATAAATTCCAAATCTATTAACAAGGTTTAACAGTTGACAACCCGAGAATTTAGTAATTACATTATTGCTATGAATTTGTTGAACGAGATTGAGGGCCTGTTCTGATTTACTAAACTGAATATAGTTGAATTGAATTGTTTACGAGAGAAGGAAATTAGGAGCTCATTGGAGCTAAATTGAACTGAAATTAAGCTGAAAAAACAGGCCTTGAGAAGATCGATTGTGAAAGATAGGGATTTTAAGTTATTGGTTATCTTGCTAATGTATTGTTTTTCTTTGAAAGTTTTTTTTACAAAAGTCAAGACTTAAAAATTATGTTCTTTTATGCCATTAGTTTAAATAAGGTCTATAGGGATTAAGCAGTGAGATTTCTTTATTTTTTGATTTGAGTTTTTAAATATATTTAACTTGAAAATATTCTGTACTAATAATGTCCAATCAACCTAATTTAGTAAGCAAGACACCGCTTATAATTATATACTTCCTCCGTTCTTTTTTACTTGACCCGCTTTGACTTTTACACTATTCACCACTCCTCCTTTGACCATGTTTTGTGAATAATATTTAAAGAAAAACATATTCATGTAAGATATTTTTAAGTTCGTCTCAACAAGTACTATCATAATATATAACTTTTATAATTTTTACTTATCGAGAATTAAAGTTATTAATCGTTAAAGTTTTACATTGGTAAGCGTGATAAAATAAACAGGTCAAGTAAAAAAGAACAGAGGAAATAATACTCTTTGGCACACAATTTTTTTTTTAAGTTGCTTTATAAATAGTTTATGAAAAAGAGATTACATTAAATTGACTTAGATGAAATGATCCAAATAATAAGTCAATTTGTTGATATCTTAAAAAATACTTGTTCAAAGCTTATGTTACAAATGGGATTTTTTTCACACCCTTATGGCTCTCTAAACACCAAAGAAAAAAAAATGGTATTTTTTTAAACAATTTGAACAATTGGCCATATAATATATAAATATACGAGTATCGTATATAGGCGTATGAAGTATTGTATATTAACAACAATTATTTGAAATAATTGAATTGAATGTACGGAGTACTATCTTCGGTTCTCATTACTTACAACAAAGGAATATTTTATATCTCACAAATAATACCCCTTTGTTGCGAGGAATAAGAACCGGAGGTAATATTTTAAAATACATTGCTAGATCAGTACAAGGAAAGTGGGAATAATCTTTCCTCCTTAACACAATAAATGACCCAATAACATTTAGGTAAATAATCATGTCATTAAATATTCTTAATTGTCATTAAAACCTTAAAAATGGCTAATCATACAAAATCCAAGGAGTAGCTAATAATTTAATGAGAGAGACAAGTGGGAGCCAGAAAGGCAAAGAATGATCTGATCCTCAACAAGATGATAATGAATGATGATTAAAGCATAGCCAAAGGAAGTACTTGAAAGTTCAAACTCTTACAATGCATGTTTTCCATGTACTATTAATTAATTAATAATGTTAGTTGTTTCACCCCCACCAAACGTCCAAACCCTAGGTGAAAGAATCAATTGCAAAAGATTAAAAGAGGAAGGGCCAAGGGAGGGGGGGGGGGGGGGGTTCACCAATTGCAATTGATTTGATTAGGAAACGATTGAAGTTGAGATGTGTGTATAGGTCCATGGATCGAACTTCACCACGTACGGGTTAGGGTAGGGATTCTTAAACAATTAACTCGCTAAATCAAAGTTAACCGAGATACTTAGACAGATCACATTTTACAATTCAAAACAATCAATTGATTTTCAATTTATGGATTGAGAATAAAAATTCATTTTTTAAAGGATTTTAATTAATAAATTATAATCTCTTCTTATTTAAATTATTTCCCTCAACGTTGAGTCCAATAAAAATTAAAAAAATAAAAAAAATTACTGCCCTCCATGGCTCCAACACGTAAAACATGAAAAAACAGAGAAAGTTACAAAATTCAGATCACATAAGTTGAGTGAAGTGAAAATTTTTGGTTAAAAGTTACTCTATTTCACAGTATAAAATTCAGATCACATAAGTTATAAAATAGGATAATTATTCCAAAACAGTCTAGTATACATGACAATTATTCCAAAAAACAATTATTTGAGACAAAATGTAGTACTTTTTAAAATCATTACTTCATTTCATAGTATTACAGAATCAAAAGTTTAACTTTCTAAAAGAGTAATAATTATGAGGTTAATAAAAGAGTTAAAAAAAAAGTTACTAGCCATATATACTCCGTATTATACATAGAATTTCAAGTTAATTTTTTTTAAAAAGAATTATGACAGTTTTTACTTTGTATCCGTACATAAATTTCACCTTTCATAGAATCATAGTTGATTCTTTCAACATCACAAATAAAAAGAATAATTATGAGGCTAATAAAAAAGATATCAAACAAAAAAGAAAAAAAATTCCAAAAATCGAATATTGACAATAAAGAACCTACAAATATAAATAGACCATCCCTCCCACAGCTATGGGACAGTGACAACAATCTTTGCGCAACCAAAATAATACAAACACATTTTTCATATATTACCAACACCAATCACCCACATACTTCTAAATCTTATACCAAAATTGAGGCAGAGCAAAATGTGCCTAAATAAACCAATATATATTTATTAATTTAATTGTATAATAACCCCACCTAATTTGCTTGTCCAAAATCTGGGGATTCCTTATCTTAAGAATGTGTCACAGATTTAGTATCAGACATTCTAGTATTGCTTTGATTGGGTGTCTGCCCGGAACAGGTCATGGGCTTCTATCATGGTAATGGATAATCTTCGATAAGGTCTCTATCGAGTAATGGATAATCTATGTTCCTTTGTGAGTGTGTATGTACTTCAGAGGTTAATTTTGCGCGCATGCATGCATGCATACGTGCATAACAAAAGAAGATGGTACAGAAGTTCCCTGAGAGTCTGATCCAAGTTATGTGTATGGAGAAATGAATCTGCGGCGACTGTGACATATTTGCAATAGTTACCTGGTTGAAGAGATGTTTCGCCGTGAAAGGGCAGCTGGGAGCCAAAGAGCAAGCTGCTGAATCCACTTCAATGGGTTCCTGCTTTTCCATATAAAAATACAAATTAGCTTTATAAATTACTAGATGGTCTAGATCTGATGTTGATTGGACGGACTTTCACAAAAGGAGGGAATATGCCATCAGAAGCAAATCATTAACTAAGAAAGATAGTAAAGGAAAACCCAGCAAGAAAACCACTATACAATTAAAAAAAAAAAGGGTAGACAATAATCGAACTGCTAACCATATTGGTTAAAAGAGATCCGTCAATGAATTCATAGATAATTCAACATGAAAACATATTATAAGAGCAAAAAAGTGAGTACTTAACAGGCAATAGGCTAATCCTCATTAGTGTGATTAAACGATATCAGTGACAATGACGCAATAGTTTTTCAAAAAGAGCTGCTACCTACTTTACTTTCATTAGTCAGAAGTTAAAGCCATCTATATAAATATTTTACACCATAATTGGATGAGAAGAGACCCATATAGGCTACTTTAGTCACATAAAGAAGCAATAGCCAAGACAAAGTTCTAACTTAAAATAATCGTCCTAATTGTACTCGTTATGTTCTTCACATCAGATACAGCAATTTAATAAGATTGCATGATAATTATATTCCTTATCACCATGTCCTTATCATTGAGAGATAACAGCATTCTAAATTCAACACCCAGCATGATAGATCTCCACCAAGTAACAAGTCAACCAGATCCTGTGAGGCAGCAGGCCTAATATGCAATTTAAAATTCTCATATTTCGCAATCAGTGATGACAGATTTCCATATGGTAATGACTTGCAAAAATAGTTTTAAAAACATTTTGAACTAATTGTCGGCACACTGAATGTATAATTGCTATATATAATGTATAAGTGAACTTGAGCTTAGAATTGAAAACACTTATGGAGTACAAATTAGTAACAAGGGTACAGCCAGTTCCATATCAAAAATTCTCATGCAACAACCAGTCTGACGGCGAAATGGAAAATGTTATTTCTTATTTATGCATGAGAATATTGAGCCTAGTTCAAATGAAAGTAATCAAGCCCGCTCTAATTGTAAATCTCCAGTAAAATGTAAGCCAAAAAAAAAAAAAAAAAAAAAAAAAAACAATTTTAGCAAACTTCACATGAAAAGACACATTTTCTACTTTCAGTATGACATTTTCTCTTACTACAGAAACCAAAAGAAAAAAAAGCTACTAAATTTTATATCCTCAAATAAGGGGCGCAGTTACTGCCATCTTCTGCAACATCCTACTTAACTAACAATTGCTATTGAATGATCAAAGCAATAATCAGGTCCAAAAGCAAAAGGCATTCTTATGGAGGATCACAACTTCACAAGCAATTGGAAGGGATTCGTAAGCAGGTTGGCTAACAATTTAGCCAAAAAAAATAGGGAAAAAGGAGAAAAGTTCTACCAGGATGATGATTCGACTTGTCCATTCAGCTGATGTTGATATGTTAAGTCATCTGATTGAGACTTTGAATATACGCTCCGCTGGAACTTGTCAGACAATTCTTGATAAGGTTGAACCTCTGATGGGTGTACACGGAGAATTGCATTCTTTAAATGTTCCATCTTTATCTCTGAAGAATTTAAGTTCTCCTGATGGCATTGAAACTTGCATATAAAAACTTACAGCTGAAGATATAAAGAATAATAATTCAACTACCCAAGAACTAAGACAACATACTTCAATTGCTGACATTGCGGCTTCCCTGCAAATCAATGATATATCAGCACCAGTACAGCCTTCAGTGAAACGAGCCAACTCTCTAATGTCAACATCAGAACTGCAAGGCATTTTACGCAAATGAACATGGAATACATCAACACGATCTGCTTCACAAGGGGGTCCAACATATAACAGTCGATCAAACCGCCCTGTTTAATAACCAGGTCCAACATCAAGACAATATTCTGAAGTTAGGAACACGAAGGAAAAGGAATAAAAGCCAACATAAACAAACGTGTATTCATGATTATATATTACAGAGAAGCCAGAAGTTCACCTGGTCTAAGAAGGGCAGGATCAATCTTGTCAGGACGATTTGTTGCAGCAATAACAGTAACATTAACTCTTCCATGCAGACCTAGAAAAAAAAGGGTCTTCTCAGGGTTCCAGCCATCATATATAACATAAATAAGAAATAACATTTGTGACCATACATTAAACTCAAGCCTGCTTTACTATAATAGACTAAATTTCCTTCGTTGCACCACTTAATAAAAGGGGAACTTAATCTAAGATTGTACAGCAAGTTCCGGTTTAAGTTTATTGTAGATCACGAGTATAAAAGAAATTTTCCAGTTCCATTAAGTATACTAAATCCAAACCCAAGGGAGGGGAAAGAAGAAGGGATAGGGCAAGCAACAAAGCAGCATGAAGACAATGACAGGTTAGTATCTCAAACAGCTTTACAGCAATGTATCACTTCCAATCATTTAAACAAAGATACTGCTACTAACCACATAAAAAGGCTTACCATCCAATTCAACCAAAAGCTGACTCATGACCCTATCTGCAACTGAAACACCATCACTTTCCTTTCCACGGATGACAGCAAGACTGTCTATTTCATCAAAAAATATTATTGATGGGGCGTTAGCTCTTGCTTTAGCAAATAGAGTTCTTACAGCCTTCTCAGATTCACCAACCCACTTGCTGAACAGCTCTGGACCCTTAACAGCCAGAAAATTCAGTCCGGCCTCAGAAGCTACAGCACGGGCCATCAGAGTTTTGCTGCACCCTGGGGGACCAAACATCAACACTCCTGTTGGTGGGCGGGTCCCAATTCGCTCAAAAGCATCTTGGTGCTTTTGAGGCCACTCAACAGCTTCCATCAACTGTGCCTTCACTTCCTCCTGTCCACCAACATCTTCCCATTTAACCTTAGGAATCTCAAGAATTATCTGCAGAACAAGCATATTAGAGAGAAAGGATTAAATCATACTTCATCATCATTCTAGTTGTTGACTCGAAAGACTGAAGCAACATCCCAATTCACATGCCAAAGGCTGGCAAAATGCACATGGCCTAATGAATTGTGTGTGTAAGGGGTGGAAGAGAAGGAGGGTTGGGGGGGGGGAGGAATAGAACCGCATAAGATTCTCATAGATTTATACCTACTGTAATACAGCAATATGTCACATTTCAGAGTGGTGGAAAGTCTCAAAACTCAGGTTGGATAAAGAGAGCATCAAAGTAGTTGTAAGTCAATACTGTTCAGCAATTAGTCATTTCCATATATCTGTGATTCAAGTGCATCTAATCATTAAGACAATTTCCTATTGCTAGATGTGCAACAAGTATAGAACATTAAGACGGGCAGTATGGCAATACAAGATCAAAACAGAAGTAAACTCAAGAAATTGCTCATAAGCTTCAAAATACAGACATTATACTCCATAATTAGTAACAGAATGAGCGCTATTTCAGATACTAAGGGATTTGATAGTCATTTCTTAAAAAAGATACAAAACTCTCTCAAATTACAGTCTTTATAATCATCAAGTTTGGTCTCAAATAATCAGCAAACAAATCCTTCACAATTTTATTTACTACATAAGCATTCTGAGATTCTGTTGAAATAGGGCATTGGCATACTAGTAAAATCTATTTTTCTACGAGCTTAAGTGATGGGAAAAGATATCCAGCATACCTCACGCATAGCACTCGGACGTATTTTCATTCTGGCCCTCTCAAAATCTTCAAAGGTTATCTTCAACATATATTCTGTGGAGGAAGAACACCCATAACTATCTAAAATCACTTCCTCCCTGTTATGTGTAACCACTGTTTCCTCGGATTTAGGAAATGGCACAGAAGTAATAGACTCAGTCAATTGCAAATCTTTTGAACATGAAGAAGCCTCAAGATCATCTACATATATTTCCCTGGCATCTCTTGCATAACAATCTCCCGACATCACACCAGAACCATCATGAGTAGAGCTTTTAGAATATAAATCATCTATAGAGTTATTTGACTGAATACAACGCCTTAAGCAGACCATAGCTGCCTCATTAGAAAGGGAAGCCAGATCTGCTCCGACAAAACCGTGTGTTGCCACAGCAAGCTGCTGGATTTGAGTAAATGAAAGAGAATGTTCCATTCTATCAAGAAGAGTATTCAATATATCAAGTCGTTGATCAGGAGATGGTACACCTGTGTAAATATATACATTAGTAAATTATCTACTCCTAGGATGATGCCTATGCTGTTCTTGCATCATATAATATAATGCGAAGTATATCATAATCTTGTACATGCACAGAACATCATATGAAAAGCACTGGCAACATAGCTCACATCATATCATATGGAGTTTGTGATGTGGAAGCACAAGGATATATGATACCCTATTGGAAGATAATTTACCTATTTCAATTTCTCTATCTAGTCTTCCAGGCCGTCTAAGTGCAGGCTCAATACACTCGAGCCTATTGGTGGCAGCAACTACAAGAAGACCATTTGTTATGCTTATCCCATCCATCAAATTCAGCAAAGTTGCAACCAACCTTTGCGATAGCTCTTCACCACCTTCTTTTCTGGCTGGCGCAATAGCATCCAGCTCATCAATAAAAACCTATACAACGAGTTTCCTAATCAGCAATATCCAAAACATATCAGGCAAATGACAAGCATTAACATCATCTAAACCTTTGAAGTCTACATATCACAATATCTAGGAACCAAAAAGTTGGGAAGCAGATCTAACCACAGAGGGGGCAGCTTCACTAGCTGACTTGAAGACATCATGGAGTCCCTGTTCACTTTCCCCGTGATATTGGCTGACAATTTCAGGTCCATTCACTTTAAAGAAGTTAACCCCAGCATCATGAGCACATAGTTGAGCCAAGGACGTCTTCCCAGTGCCAGTTGGCCCATGAAGCAGCACTCCTTTTGTTGTTCGTAACCCCAGACTAAAATAGTTAAATACTAATCAAGATACAATATCAACAATTGAAAAGGGAATCATAATGAAGCTCCTGTAGGATAGACAATATGAGTACATAAGGAAGCATCTACTAACAATATCATACATCTTATTTGTCATGATAAGAACAAAGTCACCGTGATGGTAATCGATCCAGTAAGCTAAAAGTACAACAGACACTAGTACAGCTACTTTTTCAGGTGTTCAACAGTCTGAAATCTAGAGTTAAAGCCATTCAGACTCAATATCATTTGCCAGGTTCAATAAATTGTCATTTTTTTTTTCTTCATATATTCCACAATTTCTTTAGGTTTTTGCAAAAAATGATAGCATATTTCGCATACATTAGCTATAGTGACACTAGTGATACTATTGGGGATCAAGTGCACTCACGATGCACTTTGCTACATGATAGTGAATGGTGCTGAAAGCTAATAAGAACAAATGCCATCATCAGAAGCTGTAAGTGTCTCCATATGAGCTTAGTGATAGAAAATTACAAGTAAACTGAAAAAAAAATAAAAAATTAGACTTGCAATTAATAACAAACCTTGACAAGGAATTCTTCACTGATGAAGAGATGATTTCTCGCAAAAGCGTGTATTCCTTCCATAGTCCGCCCAACATTGTACTTCCAACTCCCATTTTTACACTGACTTCCTTAGATTCCATTTTACCAGGACTTGAGGTTATTTTCTCTGGAGTCTCTGATGATACTGTTGACTGTGAACCAATTTTTATTTTTGTTGCACGATCTATGATGAATGCCTCTATATCACAATGAAGTAGAGGAGTTTGGATAGGATTTCTGGAAGTACTATCAGATGACAAACTTTTTAAACCAACCACTTCGAAAAGGCAAAGTCTAGAGAGCACTGGGACTGTCACGAGATTTCCACAGAGTAAAGCACGAGAACATAACCATGAAACAGCTGTACGCTGCAGAAGTTTGTTTGCATCTTTATCTTCTAGGATTTCTTGCATCTCAATTGCGTCAAAATAAGATACCTTTATGCCATTTAAATGAGAGATTAAATCTTCAGATGTCAGTGAACTCTTGCTAGGACTTGGAGAGCACGGCCTTGAGCGCTCAAGTGAGGGTGTCCGAGGGGAAGAAGGGTCGACATTTTCATACTGTTTCGTAGTTTTGCCTATAGAATTTCTAGACGGGGAAGATGCATCCATACTCTTTGCTGAAGCATTTTTGAATGGCAGCAGTCTTAATGATAGTTCTCTGCAGTAATATACTGAAGAATGCTCCACAGAAGAGCTGTGAAGCTTTCCATTGCTTTGTATATGCGAAGTCAATGATCCACCCTGAATAGGTTGCACAAACAAAACTCTCCCAACAGAAGGACAACCCAATGTATAATTTAGATTAGAAGAGATTTTAACTCCATTCTTTGAAAGCTGCAAGAGACAACACATGAGACACAGTCAATAGGATGTATACCCATCACTGGCTATATGGTTTTCAAATTCAAAGTACATGTTGAATTGGGTTCTCAACATAGATCTAATACATGATGGCTAGTCTTATGTCATGTTCCTTGATTTACAAATAAAGGCCTTGCAATGGTTTTTTCCAGAGAAAAAAAGGTGAGCGAACCTGCTAAAAATCTTTCAGCAATATATTAATTAGCTTGCGCTACAGAACAACAATTCCCAAAATTTGGGTTTCTCCGTATACAATTGATAAACTCTGATAACAGGTGATTTATTTTTTAAACTCCAATCCTTTTTCCAGTTATATTCCATAAAACTCAATAAACCAAAATTCAAAAGGAGTAAATTTTTCACTTAGACCTTACTAGAAGGAAATGCTGTTGCAAGGGCAAAATAGTTTCCTGCTTTGTTATCCAACTTCCCATCCCAATCAAGTCCAAATTGTTCACTGCATTCTGCAGACAATGAACTCAAAGGAAAACTACTGTTTGAATATCCATCTATCGAAGCGAGTGATACCTGCAACATTACGCGAAATGCGCAAGTTATATACACAAAAATACACAATAGTATACTAATATTACAATTATCAACAAAGTAATTACTAGGGGTGTCCGTTCGGTTTTCGGTTTGGATTTAGTCCAAATCCGATCCAATCCGAAATATAATTCGGTTTTCAATTTTCCAATCCGATCCGATCCGATCCGAATTTCTCTCTTGATCCAATCCGAATTAAAATTCGGTTATTTGGATCCGATCCGAAAATCCGAATTATAATACATTATTTTTTTAGCGCCTAATACAATTATAAAAATAAAGCTTTACTATAAATAAAAGTCTTCAAAATCATGATTAAAATACACAGTTCAACGTTAAGTCATTAATTAATTAATACAAAGTCTCTCTAATTTATTTTATGTAGTATTATGTATTTGAGCTAAACTTCAAAATATACAAAATATACAAGCTTAATTTTACAATTCGGTTTTTGGTTTGGATTGGATCCAATTAGGGTCAATCCGATCCAATCCGAAAATCCGAATTTCCAAAAAATCTCAATCCGATCCGATCCGATTTAAAGTTCGGATCCGATCCGAATTGATAATTCGGTTTGGATTGGATTGGATTTCGGTTTTTATCCGAATTATGGACACCCCTAGTAATTACCCTCCAAAACACACAACTAGTGCATAAGAGCAACCCACATTATTAAAATGACAATTACAATTAGCAACAAACAGCATGTACCCACAATAAGCTTTCAAATGCATTTAACAAAAATGCCTAATGTCATACATAAATCACTAAATAATGAAACAAATACAAAAACATGATATTATTATACTAAATAAGTCTCAATTTCCTTCAAATTTGTTCATCAAACTTGCAATTTTAAGTAAACGAAGTGTTTATAATCAGAAACCACGAAAGCTAGTGCAATTAACATATAATCCAATCAAAATAAAACAAACCCACAAAATTACAGGACTATAAAAACACAAATTATTGCTTATAATGCAATTTCACAAGAACAATCTATCATAAAATAGTAAAAATCTGAGCAATAAATACAATCATACTAATAATTAGAACAAGCAACTAAAATAACAAAAAATTAGAAAAAATAGAAGAATTACCGAAACAAGGGAGGCAGGGGAGATGGAAGAAGCAAGCATAGAAGATTCAGAAAGCCAAATTTTGCAACCCTTTTGGTTGGGGGAGGAATCGAACTCAGATAATTGGGCAATAAGAGAAGATTGAGTGATGAAAGAAGGGAACTTTCTGGAAGCTTCTTGGAGGGTATTTTGGAGGTCAATTTCAGAGAAAAAGGAAGAAGAAGAATGAGAAGAAGGTGAAGAAGGTGGGTTTTCTTGAAGTGATGATTGAAGCTTTGATAATGGAGTTTTTGATGATTTTTTCTTTGATTTTGAAGACATTTTGTCAGTCTGAAAGCCTGTAAATTGTGTATTCAAGGGTTGGTTTTGCTACTGGAGTGTAGAAGGAGAAGGAGAAGGAGAAGGAGAAGGAGAAAGGGTTTTTGGACTTAAACCCTCAAGGAGGGTTGAATGAGGGTGGAACGAAGAGGGAGAATAATGGGAGTCGTTAAATGTCTTAGATTCGGGTTGAGTCAGTTTTGTCAAATCTAGTCCTCGCTTAACAAGCGTGAGTTTATGGGTGAGTCTTGACCCATACTCACATACAAAACTATATGCTTTTTAGAATAATGTGGTGTAAGACTATAGCATATAAATTGACTCTACAAATCGACAAAAAAGACATTTAGATTTTTTTTATTTTTTAATTTTTTGTTAGCCAGATAGATATATAAATAAATGAATGTTAATATTTTTAGGAGCGAGAGTATTGAAATAATGTGTTAAAGTGGAGAAAGTCTTGTATGAGTCTAAATAATAATAATAATAATAAGAAGAAGAAATTTAAGTTAATGAAAAGTTGACGTGATAAAATCTGAATTATGGGGTTGGATCTGAGAATAAACTTATCCTAAGTTGAATACAATAAGACCTAAAATCTTTAATAAGACTTTAAGGCTAATAATACCTCTGTTGAGGACTACATTCTCTTTCAAATCCTTATTTTATAGGAGCATATAAAGATTGTTGGGGAAAAAAAAATCTTAAGACATAGAGTAAATTAATTAGGTTTAAGGAAATCAATTGACTAAAATCATGTTCATATACAATTTTAAACCAATCGCTCAAATTTTGTTTAGAGTTTTTGTATATTTTTTCAAAAAGGAACACAATTTGTGTTGCAACTACTAGGAATCATTTTTTTTTTTGAGGGGATCAAAGATTACATGTAATTAATACGCTCAAACATGGAGAGTGGAGGAATTTTAAAGGGAGGAAAGTTAGGCATTTGTAAATGCATAACATTGATTAAAATATTATTAAAACACATGATAGAGAAAGAAAAGAGGAGAGAGATAGGAAGAGAGAGGTCTGTAGGTGGGCCCCACCTATTTTTTGGTCGGATTATATCACGTGATGGGGGACCACATGTTGATTGTTCCAATGAAAGTTTATATGGTACCATTGAATCCTCCGTGGTACTATTTATGCATAAATTTTGTACAACTGAATGCATATATAATACCATTATGTGCATATATAGTATAACCGTATATTCAGTGGTACCATTGGATCATCCAATGATACCAGAATATGCATTCGTTTGTACATATGTATAATTACATAAATACCCCTTGTTATGTATTTGTAAATGCCTAACTTTCCTCCATTTCTAGCTCCTCCTGAAGAGTGTATTATCATTATAACAAAAATGTACTTGTTGGCCCTTCAAAAAAAAAAAAAGAGTACTTGTAGAAAATTAAGGTAAAAAGTTTAGCGGTTGATAGCGCCCTCAAGAATACTACAACTATTGCTTCATTGAGTAGACTTATTGATATGGACTCTCCTCTCAAACTAATTCTAATAAATTGGCACCTTAAGTTTTTAGTTTTTTTATTCGTTTTCTCAAGAGTGGAGCTCCATTTCATCTTCATGATAAACAAAAAAACGTTTATCTAGTGACAATTCCGTAAATAAATCAATATAAAACTCCAATCAGCATGTCAAATCTGTAAATAAATCAATATTAGTGGAGTTCACATCTAACAAATGTTTATGATTTTTTTACAAAAATGCAACTAGATAAACACTTTTTTGTTTACCATGAAGATGAACTTGTATTTTCTCAAGAAGTCAAGAGTATGTTGAAGGAATGTCTCACATAATTCATAACTCATGATAGAGAACAACAAGTTTTTTTTTTTGAGGAAAAACATGAATTGAATCGACTTACATTTAAAAAAAAAAAACACACAAAGTGAATTATGTATGTGCAAAATGTTTTATATTATGAAAATAGAGGGTACTGAAATAAGGCACCTCTCTGGTTTTGGCTCTTGAATTATGTATTGGGATGAACATTCAGTTTAGAATGACTGATAGAACAAATGAATCAAAGGCACAATGCTCCATGATTTTAATCATCTTTAATTGAAACCAGATTGTAATTAAGCTGTTGTTACATCATGTTTGATTTGTCTAATTTTCTTTTAACTTTTTACCATTGAGAGCAAACTCCAAAAATTATGGTAAAGCAATATATTATAGCTGATCAAAAACTGCTACTATTAGATCATACAATCAGTAAAATTGAACTACAATTATTGTATATCGATGAGTTGTATAATCTTCATCAACATAAAGGAAAATCACACTAGATAAGTTTTCTATGCTGTCATCAGCAATGACAAAAGTTAATCTAAAGAATCATAAATTCATAACCGATCATCATCAAGCTATGATGAAGACAGAACCAAGAGAGACATGGGTGGTGAGCACAAAGCCGCAGCACATTTCTCAGGCTTTGAGTATTTCTTGTACACAGTCTGCAGTTTGTGTCCTGGGGCTACTGAGTGCAGGTTTGCCAGCATCTTTGCACATTCCCTGAAAATTCCAACAACAACGCGAAATACAAGTCAATCACAATCAATGGTTCTGACTCTGAACAGCATGGTAATATAAGTTTAATGTCAAGGAAATTACATGAGTTGTGACTCTGAAAACCCGGTGTGAGTTCTGAGGGTATCGGTCCAACCAGGTGTCTTGAACAAGGTAAGCCGAGCAACATAGACAGCCGAGGCAGCAACCATGGATGGGCAAAAGGAGATGGAGCCATAGTGCATCAGAGCAAGCTCAGATAGGAAGTAGACCAGGTTTTCCATCTGCCATAAGCATAAACAGGTCAGATTAACATTAAGCAGAACATTTCTACCAGAAAACGGACAGATACAAGCATTTGTTCTGGGATAGATACTCACTTCATCATCAGGAATCGAGGCCTTGATGTATCGCGAAAGGAAAACATATGGGGTAGGAACAGTTATGTACCACTCTAGCTGCCCTAGTATGGCCTTCTCCATTTTCAGAATTTGTTCATTGCTGTATGCCCTTTCTGATATGCTCACAAAGTCATTAACCTGAAACATTTACAAGAATTAATTCAGGGTTTCAAACTATGCTGAGGAGTAGTAAGCCAAGTAGTGCTAAACAGCATGGTAAATAATTTCTGCAGTAAGTACCTCAGGAGCCCAGATTTCCTCATACTTGCAGGCAATCAACATAGCACCAATACCCAGAAGCTGCAATTCTCTCCTTGGGACAGATTTCGACGAAAGAAACCGATCAACCAAGTTAATGGTCAGATAAAGGGTCTCAGGCATAAGCTCAAATCTGTTGTGTACTTCAATCAACCAATCAACTAAGATAGCCCTCATTTTTTCGTTGATTTCGGGTTGGGAATTCATGTAGTCACAAGGCCGGCTTTCATTCTACCACCACAAACAAGAACAAATTCATCAATCCCTTGCTACTTACAACAAGAACCATGACTAAACTAAAGTTCTAAAAGTGGGTTTTCATAAGATTATACCTCTGCTATCTTATAGAAAGTGTAGATATCTTCAACATATTCAACCACAGCTAGCTCATTATCAACATCACATGCATCAATGTCAACTACTTGTTCCTTTGGCTTGTTAGTCAGACCACAAGCAGCCTATAATCCCATCAAAACAGCTTATTCAAAATCCAATGTAACAGTATATTTACAAGTTAAACATTGAAAGAAAAGTCTCAAATGTCAGCAAATTAGTCCAAATATACCTTGCTCCTAGCAGTAAGTACAGCAGTCATACTAGGAACCTTCTTCTTCTTCCTATAACCAACTGATCTTTCATTCTGAGTCACCAATTTCTCTGGTTTCTCCTGTTCCTTCTCTTCTGTATCAGGGCTTATCTCAATCACTTCCACTGGTTTCGGCTTCGTAGCCGGGACCGCCCTTTTCGTCGGTGGCTTTGGCACCACCACTGCCTTTCCTGCCACTCCTGGGGCAGCCTGCAACATCAAAAATCATATCAATATCATCCCAATAAAAAATTTCAACACCCACACAAAAAAATTAAGGAAAATGCTATTATTATTAGACCTTCTTGATCTTGTTATCTCCACCAGCCTGTGCATTGGCAAGTAATTTGGCCCCAAAACTCCTGTAACAAAGATGCATAAATTTAGGGTTTTGAAAAAAAAAAAATCAAAATTCAATTCAACAAAAATCAATTATACAAAAATTCAATTGATTTGGGGAAAACCTTGTAATGGGTCTTTGTAGTTTGCCTTCAACATCTCGAATTGTAACAAGATTACCAATATCATTCAAAGCTTTTCTGTTCCTGCCCTGTCCTTCTGCCGCGTTCTTTTGCTTGATTCCGCCATTATTATTACCTTCAACTGCAAAATTATTTCTTGAATATTAACTTAGGGAATTAATAAAGAACTTAATTAAAAGAAAAATATAAAACAATGAAACCCAGAAAAATATGAGGACGATTAAATTTTGGGGCAAAATTAATAGAACCCATAAAATCAATTCGACGATTATCGAATTGCAGATCCCAAACATTCAATTAAACAACAGGAAAATGAGGATCAAATCGTTTAAAATCCACGAACCCAGAAAAATTATTTCAGAAAATTGAAAAGATGAAGATTACCCAGAAATTTTTTCGAACACAAAACGATATGAAACTGACGATATTACAAATACGAAATACAAAAGGCGGTGATTGAAATCTTTCAACACGAATCAGAAAAACCCAGATGAAATTTTTTACAGAAAATTATCCAGAAATCATTAAAATTCTTCTGGGTTTATTCAACACAAACAAAACCAACATCAAATTGAAAGAAGGGGATGAGCGGAGAGATAAAGACGTACCATTTTGAGGAAGAACTACTCTGGAAGCCATGGATTTTAATGGAAGAAGAAAAGATGAGAGAGAGAGGGGATCAAAATCAAATCAGGAAAAAAAACCGAAACAGATTGATTTGAATTTCTCTGTTTTCCCCTCTTTTTATTCTGTTGTTATAGAAGGGTGAAGATGAAGAAGATGGAGAAACTGCGACTGTGAATTGCCCTATTTTGTAAGATGAGAGCCAAGGTGCTTCTTTCTAACGGTCATATTATTGTATTTGAAAATATAGCCGTTGAGTGGCTTCTTTGATAATTGAGATGTCTAAACGAAGAGGGCATATAAAAAGGGGGGAAAATGAATAAATTAGGATTTTTTTTTTTTAAGAAAAACTGAGTACTGTCTTTTTGTTTTTTCACCTTTTGGGTACTCTATGTTTTTTTTTTCACCTTTTAGGTACTCTAGTTAGGAAATCGGTGACTTAATCCAACATTAACCCACCGGAACAAAATTCAGTACCTTAGCTAATTAAATCCAAAAAAAACTCAGTACCTTCATTTAATTTTCAGTCCAAAAAAACTCAGTCCCCTATTTAATACATGCGCAGCAGCCAAAATAGGTAAGTCCTTAAATATGTTTATGCAAATACAGAGTATATTTCACTACAAAAAAAAAAGTTTAAAACAAAAGTGTCAAAGCAGCATCACTAATTCCTTCAGCTCTAACAACATCTTTAATGCTTCTTCCCTGAGCAAGCCCTGCAGAAGAAAAGAAGAATGTCAACAGTGAACTTAAGTCTACTTATAATTATAGGATGAAGAATTGGCTTTCTTTTTATAGGATTGTTATCTTAAGTCTACTTATAATTATATGTGCAATGATTACTTACAAGTAAAAGTAGTTACCTAGTTAGTACATCCTCACTGTTGTAGTAGTTGAACCAGTCTTGGATTATGATTGAGATGCTTGAGTAGTATGAACATGCTGCAAAAATGATCAATAAATAAGAAATTTATTTTAAAATTTGTTGTTTGATAGTAATGACTAAGTAATGTTAGCAGATTAACTTGACTCTGTTGAGTGGTTGGAGTAGCCTCATTAGGTGGGTGTTGTGCTTGCTTCCTCTTGCCTGACTTAGGTGGGGCAGGGTCCTTCAATGGCATAGGGCATTTCAGCTTGTTGTGCCCTTGCTGTGAACAGTTGCTGCACTTGTGAGTTTGTCCCTTCTTGGACAATTTAGTGCCCTCAACCTCACCTAGTGATGGTTTTCTTTTTGTTGCAGGCCTGTTCTGTATTTTCCTCACTGGTGGAGCTTAAATTGGTTCATATGGTGACTCAGGCCACTGCTGAGGACCATTTAAGAGCTCTAAAGGGAAGGCATAAGCCTTCAAATATGTGTCTTTGTTGAACCAGTCAGACACATAATGCTCAGGGTGCCCTACTGCTGCAACAGCATGGTGGCATGGCACACCACTAAGTTGCCATGCATTGCAGCTACAAGTCTTGTCTAGAAGACTGACAACATACCTAGTCTGTGTTGCTCCTTCCCTAACTCCATAGCAATAGTGCCCATCCCAAAATGCAGACCAACCTCTTGCATCCATTTTAGACTTTTCTAATCTTGTCTTGATCCTAGGGCAGATGGTAATGTCCTTGTTGCCAATGTAGTCTCTTTTCTTGTGAAGCCTCTCCATGAGGCTCTCTCTTATGTCCTCTAACATTGTGATAATAGGCTTATGCCTACTTGATAGAATGTATGCATTGAAAACTTCATTCATGTTGTTGTCAATCACATCACATGTGGATTGTGAAGTGAAATATGCCCTCACCCATTTCTTGTAGTTCCTCTTGAGAAAATCTTGTCCTGCTTTAGCTGATATTGTGTTGAACAATTCCCAATTCCTCTGAAATCTATTTTCTGTTGTTGATTTTGAAATTCTCCAAAATCTAATTCTGTACTCCAAACCCCCCCAAAAAACTTGCCTTAAATTGCAATATACATGCCTTGCACAGACCCTAGTTTCAACACTAGGCCATATGTCTGACACAGCCCTCAACAATCCTTTTTGTTGATCAGACATATAATAGTGTATCTATGGCCATCTACAGTCCCCAATTCATCAGCCAAAAGCTCAAGAAACCAAGTCCAAGTTTCTGTCTTTTCTATTTCCACACAAGCCCAAGCAATTGGAAACATTTGATTGTTTCCATCCCTACCAACAGCTACAAGAAATTGGCCACCAAATGGGCCATTTAAGAAGCATCCATCTAAGCCAAAAAATGGCCTACAACCAGCTAAAAAACCTTTCTTCAAAGCAGAAAAGCACACATAAACCCTTTCAAAGACATTGTTGTTCAGTTTGAACTTGATGCTGTTGTCTGGGTTAGATCTAAGGATTTCCTGAGCATATCTATGTAAGAGAGAGTATTGTTCCCTATACTCACCCAAAATCAGTTTTTGTGCAAATCTTCTAGATTTCAGAGCCATCCACAGACTTATCTTAACCCCTCATTCAGCCCACACAGTGTCAACAATTTCTTGGCATTTCAAATAAGGGTTTACATTAAACTTGGAATGGTAATGCTTAGCAATTCAGGAAACCCTTATCTTTCTCACCTTAGCTACTCTCCCACAGTTATGATCAGGATAATGTGTTTTAACAGTCATTGTCCCTGTACCCCCTTCAAGTGATGCCCACAAATACCATTTGCAGTCCTTTCCTTTGCATTTTGCCCCAATTCTTTTTTTTTTTATCATTTCTTGTGTACTGAACATCCCTCCCTACACTAACACAATATGAAGTAATAGCTGACCTAAGTGCAACTGCATTTTCAAACTCCCGCCCCAAGTAGAAAGGTGATTGAATTTCAGCCCTGCCCCTATGTGGCTTATTCAAGTTAAATTTAGGTTTATCTGGTTTACTTTTCTTAGGCTTAGGTAACAAGTAACCACAGTCATCCTCTGTATCAGATTGGGGTGGTGAATCTAAGTCTGAATTTGACTCATCATCCCCATTACTATTAGTCTCAAAAGTGTATTCACCTGACCTTTCAGCTAGCCTATTCAGTGACTTTATTTCTTGAGTAAACTGATACTCAAGATCTGCATCTTCCTTCAGTTTAGCCCTAGCATCCTTCAGTTCAACATCATCATTGTCACTACCCTCCTCATCATAATCTATTTTATCCCCTAAACCCATATTGTCACCATGTAAACTGTAGTCAGTCTGTGTCAAATAGCTTAGAAGTGGGGGTTCACTATGTTCACTCTCCTCTAGTTCACTGTGTAGTAGTTCTTTTCCCTTGTTCTTAGACACATAACCACTACCTGACCCTATGTTAAACCCTGGCCTGTTCTCATTGTCATGTTCATTGAAAACATCAATAATTTTGTATTGAAACAAAAGACTCTTGAACTTAGTGAATGTGATATCATCATATGCTAGGAACCTTACACCATTTGACAAATTATTCAAAGGATCACAATAGTGCAATTTGATAACATTGGAATAACCTAATGAGTTGATTAAGGTTTTGAGATATGTACCATCAAAATCAACATCCAAGTCATTGAAAACTTTCAATTGACCACCCACATATGATGAATTACTCTGCCAATGCCCACCGTGATGAACAATAATGCAAGGTGCAATGTCAACAGCCATATCTACAAATCATTTAGAAGTTGGATTCATGTTATGAGAAGTACATTACCAAAGATCAAATACAATGCATAACAAAAGTCACACTGCATTGTCATTTACACTTTAACAAAAAAAAAATATGTAAAGAAACATGAATTATGAGAGAAACTAAACCTTTTTTCATTTCCTCAACAAAATATTTCATTACAAAGATAATCATTTGAATCAATTACTTGTCAATGCTTTGACAATGTGTTACAAAAAGGGACATTCTCACAATGTCATCTAGCATTGACAACATTAACATAAACATAAACCTAAACATACATACACATCCAAAGGGCTACAAGCAAAAAACAGTTCTGCCCCCATCTAACTAAGTTAGCTATACAAACCCAAAATGCTAACTACTACAACCCCATCCACCTACACCTACATCTACAGCTACTCTTCCCCAAACAAACAAGGGAAGCCATCACAATAGGCTGTCCAATCACCAGTCATGTGAGCCCAAAAGTCATGACCTCCATTGTTAACTATGTCATCAGTTTCCCACCCTAGGTGGGCATTGTAGTTGTTGAAGTGACGGTAGGCAACAATCCTACGCTTATGGACGATCCTCCACCAGTCCATACAAACCCTCCCAGCCTCAAGTTGATCTGCCCAGCCAAGTTTGGGGAACACATGGAGCACCATAATTTTCTCCATACCTAAAACAGGGTGTGCCTCCTCAAGGCCAAATCTTATCATCTCCCTCCACCTCCTACAAGTATTAGAGGCCGCAGCCGTAGAAGAAGCGTCCAATCTTGGGAAAACATGAAAACGAAGGACTTCAAGGTGTAGCAATGGGTGAGCATCCTCAAGACCATCCATTTTCCTCCTACAATCACCAAAGACAACAACTTCTTTAATCTCTCACACTAAGACTCTGTTTTTATCAAAACCCTAACCAACACACATCTGACTAACTAACGCAACCAAAATCAAACACACACCAAACACATAACCCATTTTAGCACATCCACCATCTAATTTACACACATAATCGCATAATTTAAGCACAAAATTGAAAAAAAAAACACATAACCCTAAAACCTAAATATACCCATTCGAAACTTTGAACAATTTCGCAAAAAAAACCACAAAACTAGAAGTTCAGGATGCTTACCTCAACAATCTTCAACAATGGAATGTGAATTACCACTTTTGGAAGCCCCCAAATCAGAAGAATGTTCAAGGTTGCAGAGAGAATTTGAGAAGACGAACAGAGGAATAAATGAGAAATGTAAATAAACCCCCTTGGATATCCAAACGTTGCGTTTCATTTTAAGCCACAGAAATGAGTTGCTTGTACAACAAGCTCCCACTCCCCCAGGCACACGTGTTCAAATCCAATGCGCCGCCATCAAATCATTCTCAGACGCATTTAATAGGGGACTCAATTTTTTACGCTTTCCATTTCATTTTTTAATGCGGGTCCCAAGTTTAACCAAGGTACTAAGTTTTTTACTCACCTTTGGTTAACTTTTGGACGGAATATTCCTTTCAGTACCCAAAAGGTGAAAAAAAAACATAGAGTACCCAAAAGGTGAAAAAACTAAAAAGATAGTACCTACTTTTATACTTAACTCTATAAAAACAATTCATTTTATCAATTAAATACCAGCAAACAATTTCCTCAAAAAAAAAAATGCCAGTAAACAATTAACTATTTTCAAAAAAAAAAAAATACGGATATTTTATTAGAGTAAATCAATTTCCGCCAAAGAGATTAAACTTTGGAAAAAAGAACTACTCGTACAAACGTACTCCGAGTAGTATAATTACTTGTACTCGTACATAATTCAGGCGAAAATAGCAAGCTTTGTTGTACTCTGTAATTGAGCATGTTTTGTGAAAGTGGCAGGAACTCAATATTGTGACCGTGTGAGTAGTAATTTACGTTTTTTTAAAACTACATTAATTTACCTTTATTTTTCCATAAAAATACGTTATTGTTGTTAATTATATATTCATTGTACTCCGTATTTTTTTTTAAAAAAAAAAATTTACGTCCTATATTTATAAGTATATAGGGATGTAAATGAACCAAACCGATCAATCAACTAATTGGAGTTTGAGCTCGGTTAAAGCTCTGCTATGTTCGTTATTTGATAAATGAGACGTGCTTAAAAAAATTAAAACTCTTTTAATAAATGAGTTTGAACGCGAACATAGAAATGCTTATAAATATTTAGAGATACCCCTACCTCTTCGGATCACTTAGGGTCTTTTCACTTCAACTTAATTTCAGTTCAGATTAGTTCAGTTCAGCTCCAATCAGTCAGTTCAATTCAGTTCAGTTCAACTTCTAATTTCCTTCTCTCATAAAATATTCATTTCACCTCTATTCATTTCTGTTCAGTTCAGCTCTAATCAGTTCAATTCAGTAAATATGAACATACCCTTAATATACGAGTGTATAGAAATAGTGTAAACATATGAAGTATACGACGTATATATAATACATCTATTTCAATAAGAAAGGTCTCAACCAAAAAAATTAGGCAAATTATAAAACACAATGCCTAATTTAGGGTTGCAACCAAAATTAGTGGAACTCAATACAAGCCATTCTTCTACTGTATCATCTAAATCACACAAATATACAACAAAAATAACACACCAAGAAAACCATAACAAAAAATCTAGGGGAAAAATCAGGTTAATCTCTCATACGGTCCAATAAATGCTTTGAGTTTCGGTTAGGCTTGATATTAGGCTTTGTCATCACTCATCAGGTCCAGCAAGTACGACCTGTTCGATCACAATGAAAAAAATATCAATGGCCACTAGATAGTAGATACACTCCCCTTACACACTTTCATAAACACGCTTTAAAGAGAATATACTTCGTAAGTTGTCACAATTGAAAAGACAAGTAAAGCGAGGGGGGTATTGTTACAGGAGGAGATGATTGTTTGTTTTGTTATCTAAATGATCGCAGAGTAGAAACTTACATGACAATCAAGAGCATATTTTCTTGCGATCATGATGGCAGAATTCCTATCTCTTTCTGTTTCGAATGTCAATACATAGGAAAGTCCCTTCCTCGCTTGCCAAAACAATGATTTAGAAGCAGCATTACCACCACCTCTTACACCACATAGCTGGACCAGAGAAAAAAACAGATAGATTAGATAAGTGAAAGTTGCATCAGTAGGAGGGATTTATGTATTCAGGGAGTACTTAGAAAACAGACTTTGCACTGATTATACTAGCATACTTTCGGACCAATCTAGAGCAGGGATAAACCTTTCTCCCACTCCCAGGTCACCAAGTTATCGCAAGATTTTATCCATCGGTGATCTCATGCATTTTCCGCACAAGTGGGTAAGAATTCATGTGGTATGAGGATCTCAAAATGTATGGAAGGAAATTACTCTGAATCATTATTCTACATAATTTCCATAGTCATTGATGCAAGATCATTATTACTACTTAGCAACTTGGCTGTAATAGGCTAATAACAAAGACTACTGATGCAAAATCATGTACCTGCATTGATGTAGAATAAGACTCCCTGGTCTTATTTATCCATCCTCTACTAAGTTTCATTCTTGATTTTCCGACATGAAATACATGAACAGAATGTGATGGATAATCTTGTCCATTCATCTGTGATATCACTACCTGCATAGATTAAAACACACATTAGCTACTACAGCTAACTTGCCTAATTGTATTATTATGAACTTTTTTGTACAGAAAGAAGGGGTTGTGATCTTTATGGTAAAAGGTCAGATTAGGATACTAGTATGTGATATACAGAGATGTTAACAACATTATAGTGTCGCTGCTCCTTAATGAGCAATCATTAAAAGGTTCCCTCGCTCCATTTATTGGTGGTAATGGAAATAATTTTGTATGTAAAATTTGCAGAGAAAGCCCCATGGTAATGCAATTTTTTTTTTTTTCAATTATCTCCCAAGTATGTTTATTGCTTTGTAAATTTCCATCAGCACTTGTTACTTTATTAGAGGTGGTTTCGAGTGGTAAGGAAGGGAAGTTTATGAAGGAAAACGTATAAGTCAAGAGCTGTTATCATGGTCAAATTGGCCATGTCACAAGACTTTACTGACAAATTTACCATAATCTCAGTACCATTATTGTCATTTATCAAACAGGCCCTAAAAAACAGCTCATTCACATTCAAAAAGGTTGCATCAAATAAAGACTTTCCTATCAACTAGTAGTATGAACCAAATAGGGATAAGAAATAGCATACATGGAATTCAGCATTGGACCGCCGCTGAAGTGATTGCACGTGGCTTGTCAGTCCAGGAGCTGCCACAAAAGTGATAAATTTCTTATGGGTGAGAGACTAAGCACTCATGTGTGTGCCTCTTTGTGAGAGAGAGACAGGGAGAAAGGGAGAAAGAGGGATTATGGAGAGGAAGGAAGACTGGAAGAGAATACGAACCAGGGTCAATGGGTGCAACTGTTGTCACTGAAATTGTCTGAGTATCGGAAACAACATCAGCTCGCAAAATTTTGCCCACATCTAAAGGTTCCGGTGCATAAATTGGTTTGTTGGCACCTAGAAACAGAAGTAGATAACTAAGCAAAATAACCTACAAGATTAGAGAGCTTTAGATGAAACACTGAAATTGCCAAATCATGAGTAGCAGAAATCAACAAGTTTTTTTAAAAAAAACTTCCAACTTCGTATCATAATCAAACTGAACCCAAAGAGTCACCTTCGATAAAAAGAGAAAACAAGATAAAATGATCACAAATAGAGTGAGTTCTTTCACGAATTCACAAGTAAAATTTTTAGAAATTAGATATGAAAAGGCCACAACCTAACATATATTCCTATAGAAAACAAAATGAATTTTCTTAGCAGGTATAGTTGATTTTACTTGCTTAAGCTTAAAACATGGAAGTCATGTGTTATAAGAATACACATGATTCAAACTACTGCCATCAGAATAGTGTTTTCTGTAAGTACATCGGTAATAAAAGGTGAGAGTAGAAATAATCCTATTAGAGATATTTCCTGAACCACAATTAGTACAAAGACATTGCAGAAAGATCATTAATAGAGAAGAAATATCATTTAGCTTAGACAAGCTGAAGAGAAATGCAATAAAAAAAATACAATTATAAGATGTGGAAAAAAGAAACACATGCAAGTGATGGCTATGGTAAATAGTCACCTGCTAGTATCTCGGTATGGTCACCCTCAGGTGATAAACGGAACCACTGAATAGAGCATTTTGAAAGATCAGGAGCATTATTGGCACGAGGCCTGATCCTAAGACATGAACCTAGGGTTTGAGCACCTTCTAACTGGTACACACATAGTCTACTTTCTTCTGCCCTCTTTGTCATGGCCAGCTGAGAAGCAAATATAAGGTCAGGTCAGCAATCTGAGCTAGTCCAAAATTGTATAAGCCGAGAATACAGGGCAATGTAACAAAGTAAATCAGAAGATCTAATTGTCATTTAATTTCACGAGATATTGAATAAAGGAATATAAATAAACCTCTTTTTGAAGCTTAGCCGAGAATATAGATTTCTCTCTAAGTTGAAGCCTAAGAGCTCGAAGTTCATGTTCCATATCCATCACCTATGGATGAAAAGCAAACATTAATATACAAGGTCAGGAGCTAAATAAACTAGGAGAGAAAAGAGCAGGAAAGGGGGAAACCTGCAGGAAATATTAAAGTAAAATATGCAAGAGCTGTGTCACTTACAATTTACAAACAAAGTGTTTTTGAAAGACCGATAAGATAAATTAAAAGCTAATTTAAGGTATCCTTGAAGTTATTATAAATATATGGTGATATAATTATAGATATTTTACTGAAAGACTTTTACTAAAAGTACAATAATATGATGTATTGACACACCTTGCATGGCTGATGATTCAATTTGATTCGTCTAGCTTCTTGAACCTCCTCCACCAATGTCTCAACGTCCTTAAATAATCAAGATCAAAACAATACAACAAAAGGTTAACAGCTTTAAAAGCCAATTTCAATTGACCAGAGTACTAAAATGTAGAAGCTCGGTTCAAGGTACATTTGCCCCATCAAATTAGACAATATTACAGGATTCCAAGGTCATTTTATGAGCATCCATTTCAATCTAGCTATTAGTACCAACATTTTAATTCAGGAATATGAAAATCAGATCTTCTGATAGTCATATAAGTAACTCCGAAAACAGACAACCTTATACAAACCTGCTTTCCGGATGTTTGAGCTAGTTTTTCTTCTTCTTCAAGAGCTTCCCCAAATCTTTGTACTACAGCTCTAGCACTCTCAATTTCAGCACAAGCAAAGGATCTTTCCTGGTTTACCAATCTTTTGGCATCTTCAGAAGCCTGTAGATGAAATCAAGAGATACATAAATGCCAGTTCTGTCCCAAGAAAATACAGTGGTCCGACTTTCTGAAGTCATAAAATTGCAGAGGTCACAGTCAAGTCCATAGATTTAACAGCCCATCACCTGCTTAAGAAAGTTTGCCAGCTTCTTGACCTCAAATTTCTCTTGTATTAACTCTCCTTCCTCTTGAGTTAGCTTAACTGCCAAAGCTTCCACCTGTGGAAACGGTGTGTAACTTGAATAAAAGCATACAAAATAAAATTTAGACGATGGTAAATGATACAAATTTGCAGCTTGCACAAATCAGATGCAAAACATATCAGGTGAGGATGTGAGGCAAGGCAATATGACTATAAGACAGCCACATATCGCAGAATATATTGCATGTTAAATCTACAAGCTATCTCAGTTTCTTTAAATGTTTTAATTATAGAGAGCTACAGAGAAACACGAAGGAAAATTTTGTCAAATGCTGTAATGCAAAGATAGCATGACCAAACAGTTGAAGTAGGAGATTTTGTAGCAAATACAAATAATTTCCGCAAACAGCACTACTCAGAGTAGCCCTTCTTACCAAAGAAGGCATGGATCCCTCAAATAGGCTAGGGCCACTGCTAGTTGAGGTTTACTTTTTTTATAACTCCAAAATTGAGTTCATTAACGCGATATGATAAGGCTCCCATACATGGGGAAATTGGAGAGGGCAGATGTAAAGAGCCTTTCCCATGTATTTGCAAAGGGAGATCCTCTTAGTATCACCCCTACAATGCCACAATCCCATGAATAACCCGAGTTGGCAAACTCTAAGTAGCAGGCACTTAAAGGACAGAAGTGCCAGAAAAAGGTCCCCAAATGCTTATACCTATTGACAAATACGAAGGCTAATAAATAGACCGCAATAACCTGTGACTTCATAACGACATAAAAATCCCTCAAGATTCAATTCTTATACTTCATACAAGTATATTTAGTAAAGGGTATAAAGTTTCAGATTCTGAAAAATCCAACCATGAACCAGCAGATCAGAAACCAATTTCCCTTGTTTCACAGTTTACAGTTCTCGTCCATTCACTTTAGCTTACAAACACCTCAACGATTAACAATGTTGGATCAGACAGCTAACAAGAAACCATCAACACAAGTTATAAAGCTCAGTAAGAAACCAATGCTATTAAAAAAAAGGTACAGAGGACTAACCATAGATATAGCTTTTTCTACATCCTCCTTATTTCTACCAGCCATACACCCTTTCAATGATTCCAAAGCATCTCTAAGTTTTTTCAAAAGAACATGTCCCTCCAAAGAAGCCGTCTCCCTGAGTTTCGCCTACAAAACAAACAATGCCAAACATCAATAAATTTGTTGAAATGCAATGCCTTTAGTTCCTTACAAGAGTTACACCACTTCACAAACAATGCCAGCCAATATAACATAAGCAGCTATAAGCTTATAACCTCATCTGATAGCTTAGCTGCAGCAGATAAATTCTTATCAAATTTAGTAGCAAGATCTCGAACTGATAAACGCTTGTGTTGCTCGGCTAGTTGCTCGGTTTCTTGTGCAACAACCTCCTTGAGAGGCGGCGAATCAGGATTAGGCTTAGGCTCTTCTACTATCTCATTGTTAGGTCCAATTTTATACTTTGGAAATCCATCAGAAGGGAAACTAACATCAGCTGAAACTGATAGAACTGCATCATGCTGTACCTCATACTCAAACTCTGGACTCACCCTTGTCATTGTAAATCAGGGTTCTGCACAAAAATTAACCATCAACCCTTTAAACTAAAACATTTTGCAAAATCATATTGTGACATTTATAACATCAAATCTTTTCAATTTTTGACATGTCTCATAATCTAAAGTCTAACTTGTTTCTACTCAAAACTAATTATGAAAATACGAAAACAATTAAGCTAATAACATTTATAGACACTTAAGCATGATTATCCTCATAAATCTAAAAAAATTGCCAACTAACAAGATATTTTCCAGAAAGGATTTCTAGAAAAAAATTAAAAAATAAAAATAATCCTACTTTGATGAAATAAAGCAGATTAATTAAAAATTATAAACATAAAGCACTAAAGTGTTAATTAGTTAATAAACCCCTTTTAATAATACTTCAAAATAGGAAATTATGTGCCAAAAATTAAAACTTGACTCCATAAAAAAGCTGGATCATCAACTTAAATTAGAACTAACAAATCATATCATCCACCCCATTAAAGAAAATTAATAATACATACATGCATGATGATTCATACATACATACATACATGATGATTCATACATACATACATACACATAAAAACAAATTAGCCACAATAAACCCTAAAGTATATCAAGCAAACCGCCAAAATTAATCTCTGAAGATGCTAACAGAAAAAATCAGTCACCCCATTAAAAAAATAAAAACAATAAACACGAAACCGGCCTAGATAGGCTATAACGCCTACAGAATTAAGTGCGAGTTCAATGGTAGAGCTCCCACCTTCTAACCCGGATTTGATTTTTATCACCCAGACTTATTGTTACGATCCCTTGTCTAGACGGGGTCGTAACAAAATATTTAACATAAAACCCGACCCTAAAATAAACGAACAAGGAAAAAGAATACTTACTAGGATTAGTAGCACAATGTAGGAAAAATCATGGGAAAATGTTATATTTGGGAAGAATAATGTAATATATGAAAAATAAGAAGTTTAATAAAGGAGGATATAATGTTGAAGAAGTGCTTTTAACAAAGCAAAGTGAGGAAAAAAGGAAAAGGGATGAATGCGAAAAGAGTGTAATTTTGCTGGGTTTTCTTTCTTTCTTTCTTTCTTTTTCTAACGACTAAATAATAAATAATAAGTGTTGATAAATTACGTTTCTTTTTCACTTTCATTCTTTTGTTGGAGAATGAGGGAGAAAATTGGAAAACAAAAGGCTGCTGTGATTTCACGCGCTGTACAATTGTGGGACCATCTTGCTCGAGGTTGGAGGGAAGTGAAGGTGTAGTGAATGTGAGTGATTGATGCTTTCCTCTAAGCTATTGAGTGAATGTTGAAGATTATACTAGGCCGTCGAGGTGTCCCGTGCTTTGGAGTTGGTTAGGCTCGGCTCAATTTATTAGTAAGTTAACTATGTCTATGTTTTTTTTATTAAGGGTCTGTTCACTTCATTTTAATCAGTTCAACTCCTAATTTCTTTATCTCATAAAATATTCCGTTCAGTTCAGTTCCAATCAGTTCACTTTGTAAATATGAATAGGCCCTAAAATATTGACATACTCACTTGGTAATAAGGTGTAACCGTGTGAGTCATATTATATGCCTCCGAACTTGTTTATTCATAGTGAGTGTTAGCTTCATGAATTGGTCTAATTTGACCTAGTGTAATCTTGATTGATTTGATATAAGCAGCTTGAAGCATGCTTAGTTCATTGTCATTCTATTCTCTTTAATTTCCTATAATTCTTTGAATGCTTAGCTATTGAATAAAAAAAAATTAATGAATTAATTGAAATAATAAATAATGAGATTTTTTCTAATTGAAATATAGAAAATAGAAATAAAAATGTTGTAATTGAAAGAGACATATGGTGAACGAATCTAATATATATATATATATATATATATAAATAAAGTAGGCATTTTTCGGGAGCATTTGACGCGCCACATAAGAAAAGGTATTATTTTGTCCAATGAAAAATTAGATTAATAATTTATTTTAGAATTAAAAAATTTACTCGCCACCTAAGCAAAAGTGACGAATAAAATTTAAGAATTTTGACACATAGGTAAAACAACGAATAGTGAATAATTAAAATTTAAATTACTTTTAAAAACCAATAGTTATCTTCTCTAAAAAAAACAATAAAAAAATTAAGTAATAATTATCTTTTTTACATATATGGATGCAAATTTTTAATCTCAAATATCTTTAATCTCTCCCTAGAAAATGTTGTAAAAGTCTGATTTTAATAATGTACTCATCGAGACGTATAAAACTAAATCTCATATGACTAATTTCCCATAATATTTTATAGTTAAACGATTATAAATGAGACTAACATTTTAAACAGAACGAGTATATTAAATAAACGCATAGGCAAAAGACTTATTTTGATTTATTAAAAAACGATATTTGTCATTTCAGTTTTGAATTAAAAATTTAAATTGTCACATAAGCAAAATTAGTGAATAAGGTTTGGGATTTTAAATTCAAGCGTTAGTGCGTCACATAAAATAAATAAAACAACAAAAGATAACTTTAGGATATTAAGAATTTTATCCATATAACTAATTAATGATCTTCATAAATATACACAATTTTAAATAAAATAAAATAATTACTAGAACCGTGCATCGCACGGGCTTACATCTAGTATAAATTGAAAATTTACTTTCTTTTTTTTTCCTAAGAATTTCAATTGTTATCACTATCATTTCAAGTTTCACTTATCAAGTATGTACAAGAAGTGTTCGTGTTTGTTGTATATATTTAATAATTCTAAATAATACATATTTCATTATTTTCATCTCGATAACTCATCTAAAATATATACTTTAACTTTTATAAACTTTGATATATTTTTTTTATTTTTATTTTTGTTGATAATGACAAGGAAAAAGGGAACATATTGAAAATGATATGTGAAAAGCTATCAATTTTCCATCCAATTGTTTTCTTCAACAATAATTATAATTGTGAGTTGTAAATAACAAAGTATATTAGTTCACGAGCACATCCAATTGGAACTAGATTATATAGAAGCAACTAATTTTTGGATGCATATGAAATCTATCTACTATGAGATGACCTGTTTTTGAAGATGAACCTTCCCTATTAATATTCAATTAAGCATATACTAAGTATTTTTTGTATTTTAATGGGGTTGTTAAGCTTATTAGTATTGTCCAAATTGTAATCATTGCAATTATAAATCCGTGACACATAATTAGCCAGTTCAAGGGCCAATTTAAGGATTTATCAATTATATTAAATGGAGTAAGCTCAAAGTATGATGATGCTACTAAATCTAATATATATTTTTATTGAAAATGTTATTCTCTTGTATTAGAATATGATAAGAAAGTCTTGGCGAGGAGAACATAATATAAACACAATTGCACCTCAAGACTATAAAAATAACTAATTAAGCAAATATGTTACTCCGTACGTACTATACTATTGTCTATTAATTTATACTCGTATTAATTATATATGTTCTCCTTTACAACAATATAAAAGGATGATTAATAAACTAAAGATATATTAATAATTTTGTTAAAGCTAAAATTTTGCTCTTAACTTTTAGCATAGTTTATGCAATGTTAGGTAAAGCTCATTGAAAGAGATAGATACTAAAAACAACTTTTGTGATTATCGATCACATGGTTTTTCCATAAAACAGAAAAATGTGTTTCTTGCTAATATATATACCGAGTACTTGTGATGTCAAAATGTGTGTGATCATTATCGTTAATTAGATGAATATAATACATACTTGATTATGACTTTAGTTTAAGATAGATGACAACGATTGATTGATTTAGACTCAAAAATTGCGTAATATATATTATTAATCTAGTGGATTAATTAATAAATAATTTAGTTAGTTGAATAATGATGATTAGCTAATGGGAAAAGCTAGAGTTTGGCGAATTACTTGTTAATGTGTTATAGCTTCTTTTCTTATTTATTTTAATTATCTTAAAGGACTTCTCTTGCGCGCCGTCTACAAATTGTTGCACTTCAAAGATTCCGCTTACTTTCTTTGTTTTTGGGTGGAAAAAGGGTATGAATCTCATAGACTCTTTATCTAGATTAGATAGAGAACTTTTTCAATTGAACCCTAAAATAAAATAAATAAATAAATAAATAAATAAAATAAAATAAAATTCTTGCATCCTTAATGATTCTTAAATGCGTACACAGCGATATGGTAAACTATTTTAAATTGAAAATAGTTGTTAGAGGACCAATTCAACTAAAAACTTAATTTGATGGTTGAATTTCAAATTGGTTTTTATAATTTATCAAAACTGATAATACTATTCTTCATTTATTCTTCATGTAAACAAAATATGATATTTGATAATGCTAATCAATCTCTCAATACAAAGTAAGTATGTGTGACTTTGTTAAGATGCCTAATATATATATATATAGATAAAAGTTGTCAAGTTAGTTTTCTAACAATCAAATTCTTAAATGGACCTGGTTCACACTAATTTATTGTGGACCATTAACATTAGAGACCAAATGATTGTTTTATTAATAAAAAAATGCACTATATTAAAATAAAGGTTATTATGTTGAAATAAGAGTTATTGTGACATTATAAAAGCTATAAAAGTTTAATTTTTTTAATGAAATTTTTAATATAATGGTCAATATGAATAATAAAGATCACTATGTTAAAATTAGGTCACTATTCAATTTAATGTCGTACTCTAACTTCATAATAACATTAAAGGTCACTCAAATTTTTAAAAAGGTTATTGTGTTAAAAATAAAGTTACTATGTTAAAAATAAGGGTCACTATATTGAATATAATGCCAGTTACGTGTGAATAAACCTTAAGTCCACAATAATATTATTGTGAACCAGGTCCACGCAAGATTTTCTATTTCTAACATATACAGAATTGGATTATACTTGATATAAGAAACTTAACTCCAGTTATAACTCTTATAAGTGATAGAAATCAAAAGGAAGAACGAAAATGTTACAAATATTTAGCATATGTAATATAATTGATAATTGATTAATTTTCTCTCATGGTGGGGAGGTGGATTAGTTAATAACGGTATGCATGATAGTTCACACAATTAAAACAAACATGAAGATGCATGGATTGTGATTTGAGAAGAAGAATGGACAAATCATAAAGTCACTATTAATACCGACATACACAATCCACGAGCGGCTATCACATGCAATGTTAGGTCTCAGGTGTTGACTGATTTGCATCATTTTCATACAATATTACATGCAAATACAATTACAATTGGACTAAAATCTTTGATATATAAATCTAACGAAAGTTGTTGTTATATCATACTTTGTATGTGATATATATGGGTCCATTAATTTGGCTTATAGTTTCTTTCTCGACAAGGATATATGCATATGTACTAAATATTCAAATAATATATAATAATAATGTATCTTCCAACTATATGCCAAACCACCAAATCCAAGCTAAATTAGTTAACTTCCAAGAATTGATGTTTTACCTTACTTGCATGTTTATGATCAGTAACTTCTCCTAACTTGTACAAGTACGATTTTTTCGCACATGTAAGATGCATAATCTTGGAGGTTGATTGGCTTGTTGATTTTGGATCAGAGAACACTCATATCTATAAATACATTTATTTTTTATTTTACGAGGACTCTTTAATTTCTTATCTCAACATTAGCGATAATAATTATTCAAAGTTTGTGTGTGTCGATGAGGCAATCTACTTAATTGTGTTTTTAGTATTTACAAAACGAAAGAACCTATGCCAATGATTATTATTACTTAATGTACCATGTACATATACTCTTTATACTAATGCATTTTTAAATCTTAGCCTAAAGATAATAACGATTTGGTTTCTTGACTCAAAGGTTATGACATCAAATCCCGCTAAGGACAAAGATGGAACTTATTCCTTATTCCTAACGAATTTTAACATAATAGGATTGATTCTCATCACTTGTTTTGTAACTCCCTAAACAACAAAAGATGTGAGAGGTACCAATTTAACAAGGTAATATTACTTACTACTATACTTTATATATAGAAAAAAAAGTTAATAGATTGAAGTTAGGACTCATCTAAACTTGATAGAGTGCAA